GCCATTGATCTTCTTCAATTCATTTGATCCTACAGCAGAAAATTGAGAGGGTGAGTGAAGAGTAAAGTGGGTGTGTGGATAGCACTACCCTAGATGTTTTGTATGTGCTAGATCTTGTTTTCTACTTTGATCGTACTAATACTCTGTTGTTTTGCTGGAAAATAGTTGCGTTGAGCAATTTTTTAGGTGGAAAGATTTTCGAAAATTATGGTTTCGTTTGAATTTATGAGTAATTTTTTCAGAACATTTTGTTTCCTATTCATGTCAAAGAAACAATATAAAACATATTTTCCAGAATAATTTTCGTTCTAAAATATACTAATTTGTAAGATAGAATTATTGTGCGTACTTGTTTTCTATTTTGTTGTTATTGGTGACCCTAAATTAATAGAATCATCCTAATTGATAAGGATTGATTTGTGATTTCCTTTTCTTTTGTCAAGACGGTTTACGAATAACTTGTCTTGATTATTAATATTGCTTGATACAGGAAAAATTATGTATTCCTTTTACCGGAATTCAATAGTCTTTTGGTGGAATACAAAATCCTATTTTTTTTTTTTTTTCTGGTCATTTTGGAAACATAGAAATGTATTGGTGTAGTCAATTTAAATGTTTATATTCAAAGTTGAATTCCAGTTCATTTTTTTGTTGTTTAAATTTGCAGGTGTTTCCTTCTCGGTTAATTAGCTTCTTGTAAAAACTAATTGCCGGTTGTTCTTAAAGACTAGTCAAGATGGTAAGCACTGACTATCAATCTGAACATGGTTACATAGTGATTCTTGAGCTGCTCCATTGATTCTTTAATTCATAATGGTGTGATATTCTTGATACGTGCAGGTGAAGTTTACAGCAGAAGAACTCCGTAGGATTATGGACTATAAGCACAACATTCGCAATATGTCTGTTATTGCTCATGTTGATCACGGTATAGATCTTTTTTTTTTTCACTTGATAATTCTTATCTTTGTAACAAGGTGTTTTTATTAACCTGGTTAAAGAAAATTTTTAACGTTGTAATATTTTGGTCAAGTGTATTTTTTTTCAGTATTTTGAACTTTGCTCTATTGGTTATAATTTGAAATATTTCACCAGTTAGTATGTATTGTTGCGTTTTATCCATTTATTTGTTTATATCCTGTGGTGTTTCATCAAACATATAATGTTATTGAAATTTAATATGCAGGGAAGTCAACTCTTACAGACTCGCTTGTTGCTGCCGCGGGTATCATTGCACAAGAAGTTGCTGGTGATGTTCGGATGACTGATACTCGTGCAGATGAGGCAGAGCGTGGTATCACAATTAAATCTACCGGTATCTCTCTCTACTATGAGATGACTGATGAGTCTTTGCAGAGGTACAAGGGAGAGAGGAACGGAAATGAGTACCTCATCAATCTCATTGATTCCCCCGGGCATGTTGACTTTTCATCTGAAGTCACAGCTGCTCTGCGTATTACTGATGGAGCACTTGTGGTGGTGGATTGTATTGAGGGTGTGTGTGTCCAGACTGAGACTGTGCTCCGTCAAGCATTGGGAGAGAGGATCAGGCCTGTTTTGACCGTTAACAAGATGGACAGATGCTTCCTTGAGCTCCAGGTTGATGGAGAGGAAGCTTACCAGACATTCCAAAGGGTTATTGAGAATGCTAATGTCATTATGGCTACATATGAAGATCCACTTCTTGGTGATGTCCAAGTGTACCCAGAGAAAGGAACAGTCGCCTTCTCAGCTGGTTTGCACGGATGGGCTTTCACTCTGACCAACTTCGCTAAGATGTATGCTTCCAAGTTTGGAGTTGACGAGTCAAAGATGATGGAAAGGCTCTGGGGTGAGAACTTTTTTGACCCAGCTACCAAGAAATGGACCAGCAAGAGCACGGGCACTGCTACCTGCAAGCGTGGTTTTGTTCAGTTCTGTTACGAACCCATCAAGCAGATCATCAACACCTGCATGAATGATCAGAAGGATAAGTTGTGGCCCATGTTGACAAAGCTTGGTGTCACAATGAAGAGTGATGAGAAGGACCTGATGGGGAAGGCTCTGATGAAGCGTGTTATGCAGACCTGGCTACCAGCTAGCACAGCTTTATTGGAAATGATGATTTTTCACCTTCCATCTCCGTCAACGGCTCAAAAGTACCGTGTTGAGAATTTGTACGAGGGTCCTCTTGATGATCAATATGCCAATGCCATCAGGAACTGTGACCCTGATGGACCTCTTATGCTCTATGTGTCCAAGATGATTCCCGCTTCTGATAAGGGTAGATTCTTTGCCTTTGGCCGTGTCTTTGCTGGTAGAGTTCAGACAGGATTGAAGGTTAGAATCATGGGTCCAAATTTTGTTCCTGGAGAGAAGAAGGATTTGTATGTTAAGAACGTACAGAGAACTGTTATTTGGATGGGAAAGAGACAAGAAACTGTTGAGGATGTTCCTTGCGGTAACACTGTGGCATTGGTTGGTCTGGATCAGTTTATTACCAAGAATGCAACTTTAACTAATGAGAAGGAAGTGGATGCTCACCCTATCCGTGCTATGAAGTTCTCCGTTTCACCTGTCGTGCGTGTTGCTGTCCAGTGTAAGGTTGCATCTGACCTTCCCAAACTTGTTGAAGGTCTCAAACGTTTGGCCAAGTCTGATCCTATGGTTGTCTGCTCCATTGAGGAGTCTGGAGAGCACATTATTGCTGGTGCTGGTGAACTGCATCTTGAGATCTGTTTGAAGGATCTGCAAGATGATTTTATGGGTGGTGCTGAGATTATAAAGTCTGACCCCGTTGTGTCCTTCCGTGAGACTGTCCTTGATAAATCCTGCCGTACAGTAATGAGCAAGTCTCCAAACAAGCATAACCGTCTGTACATGGAAGCAAGGCCCCTTGAGGAAGGTCTTCCCGAGGCTATTGATGAAGGTCGCATTGGCCCAAGAGATGATCCCAAGATTCGTTCCAAGATCTTGGCTGAGGAGTTTGGTTGGGACAAGGATCTTGCTAAGAAAATCTGGTGTTTTGGTCCCGAGACCACTGGTCCCAACATGGTGGTCGACATGTGTAAGGGAGTTCAGTACCTTAATGAAATCAAGGATTCGGTTGTTGCTGGGTTCCAGTGGGCCTCAAAGGAAGGTGCATTGGCAGAAGAAAACATGAGAGGTATTTGCTTTGAAGTCTGTGATGTGGTTCTTCACGCTGATGCTATCCACAGAGGGGGAGGTCAGGTCATTCCAACTGCTCGGAGGGTCATCTATGCCTCTCAGCTCACAGCCAAGCCCAGGCTTCTCGAACCAGTTTATCTCGTTGAAATTCAAGCTCCAGAGGGGGCACTTGGCGGGATCTACAGTGTTCTGAATCAGAAACGTGGGCATGTGTTTGAGGAGATGCAGAGGCCAGGAACTCCACTTTACAACATCAAGGCATACCTCCCCGTCGTTGAGTCCTTTGGATTCTCTGGTCAACTGAGGGCTGCAACGTCTGGGCAGGCTTTCCCACAATGCGTGTTTGATCATTGGGAGATGATGTCGTCTGATCCATTGGAAGCTGGATCCCAGGCTGCAACACTTGTCACCGACATCCGTAAGAGGAAGGGTTTGAAGGAGCAGATGACCCCGCTCTCTGAGTTCGAGGACAAGCTATAAACAATTTACTATATATTCGGTGTCTTGCCAATTTGCTCGATTAGGGATGGATATAGCATCGCCGGAGTAGATTGCGGAACAATATTTTTGGTCTCTAGCTATTTTAATTGTTTGGTTTTCGGTTTTCTGGTATTGATTATGTCATTTGGGAGATCAATGTTCCTCTTCGTCAACAATTTTATTAGTCTTATATTAATTTCTACACATGGTTTGAGAAATATATCCTACTTTTAGTCGCTTATTTTGATCTTGTTTTGTTTTCTTTGTGAATTCGTAAAACTTTAGTAAAGTGGATGAAATCTGGTAACTTGGTTGTCAATTTTGCTTTGAGAATAAGGCAGCTTGATGTGCTGCCCTGCCCCCCCCCAACCCTTTTTGAGCCAAGTGCGGCAATTTTGTTCGAGGGCAAGGGAACCGATTTGCCTCACGAAATTGCTCTCGAACACGAATATGCTTCGTGCATCTGGACTCTCTTGGAATCATGCACATGGACTCTCTTAATTGTTGGAATTGAAATTGCCTCCAAAATAGGGGTAGTAGTATTGGTTTAAAAAATTGCAATTGGCTACAATACTATTTTTCAGAAAGAGGAGAAAAAAGGTTCACGAAGGAAATCGAAAATCACTTTTTAAATGAGTTTTTTCTTTTTTTTTTGTGCAAGTAGTAAGTACCACCTAAATATGTAAGTATATGCGATAATACCATTTGAACTTTTCATTTTTACTTTTTACCATCTTAACTCTCTTAACCGTTGGAATCTACTACCTAAGTTACTTTCTATCAATTTTGCTGTTAAAACATCACTTGTAGGGATATGTTCGTCAATTACTTCATGAGGCCAGCTAGAATAAAATTGGCTCCAAAATAATATTGCATGAGTCAATATGGCGCCAAAATTAGGGGTTTGTACAACCCCAGCTCGACAATTCCCTCCATAAGAGATTGAAAAATTAATAATTGAATAAACTAAGATGAATTAGACACCCAGTTGCTGACCTAAAAAAAATCTTGAATTGTAAATGAAAGACTAGATTTTTTGCATAATTTCACTTTAATTCTTCAACAAACCTTGCCAAAATCAACTTCTCTGTTTCTCTTCATGACCTGACTCTAATGTCATTACAAAAAAAAATGCATTTTGCCTTCATACGTATTGATTCCAGCGAGCTCTAGAAAGTGAATTGACAAAGATATCCCTCCACATAAAGGGTGCGTGACATGTTTTAACGGTTAAATGGAAAGAAAGTAACTTAGAATTGAACATTCATGTGGGATTGGTACACATGTTTATAAGTTCAGTTGGATTTGTGCAAAATCCCCTTTTAAATAAGTTGTAATTGGTGGGTTGAAATTAAATTACCCAAGTCCGTCAAGCAAAAGCCCACCAAATGGCGGGAGCCTTCAGTTTTGTTAACGCACTTACCCTTGCACTTGCAGACACAGCAAACCGAGATGGAGCGCAAAGACAGCCAGTCTCCTCAAGGTTTTCCTTCTTCTCTCTTTACTTCTCAAACGGTTTCAATTTTCGGTTTTGATAAATCAATTTCCTTGATTTGAATTGAAATAGTGCAGGTGAGATAACTCGGATTCTGGTGGAATTCCTCGAGGTTGCAATCACTTCAGTCGTTTTCCTGAAGGGAATTTACCCTCCAGGTTCGTTCTTCTAATCCTCCATTCAATCCTATCCCACCCAACCCCCAATTTCTTGTTTGGTTGCTGAGAAATTTATGGTATTGGGTTCTGTTTTTCTTTATTACCCTACCCAGAAAGCAAAACCCCATTTTCTTAACTAAATCCTTACACAAGTTGCATACGAGGCTTATTGGAATAATGGGTAATTGTATTTTTTTAACAGTTTGAACTGATATTTACTGATAGACTCTGATAGTTGGTGTGTTTTGGTAAAGGTGCTTTTGAAAGAAGGAAATATATGAATTTGGTGGTTCATAGAGCTCGTCACCCTGAACTCAGAGATTACATCCATTCCGCTGTCTCGGGACTTCTCCCTTTTATCCAAAAGGTTGCTTCTTTACTTATTTATTTCTTTTAAAACTTTTCTTATACATGAGCTCATCATCTTTGCTTAGAAATGATTTGTAACCAAATTGGGTGAAAAGTTTGAAGATTGTGTTTCTAATTGAACCAAAGTTCTGCCATTTTTTCTGTATGTTTTTCCACTAAAGAACATTTTCACTGAGACGGAGAAATACATCTTACAAACTAGGGTCTCGTGGAGAGAGTAGCTGTTATTTTCTTTCACGGTGACAACATCCCTGTGGAAAGATTTATGTTTAAGCTCAATGTGAATCAATCGTATGGCTCGAGGGTGGAAGAAGCTGACCTGGAGTTCTCACTGAGGTCATTTTTTATCAAGCTTCCTGTCGCAGAACCCCTTACCAAGGCTCTTCCCCAGAGTAAGTCCTTAAGCTTTCTATCAAATGGTTTGGTTTAATTGGTTAATTATTGACCAGATGCGTACATTGTTTCTGGGATCATGAACTATGGTTTGGTTTAATGTCTCGTTTCCTTTAGTGATCGATCACGGCTAGCTATGTAAGCTTTTCGTCTTTAACAGATTGCAGGTGGGAGATAACTGCTTACTTTCGATCACTCCCTCAGGCTTGTACAAGTAAGGATGCAGAGTCGTGGATTCCAACAGATACAAAGCAGTGGCAACAACCTCCGTTAATAACCCCTATTAAGTCAATGAGTAGCCAACCTCTATCTGTGCAGTTATATTTGGAACATCCAAGTTTATCTGAACCAAAGGCTTGAAAGAGGAATACAATTGTTCCTACGCATATGCATGCATGCACGTATGCTTAGCTGGTATTGGCCTTACCTAATTTACTTTTTAAGTCCTTCAATGTGATAGAAAATTCATGTTTTGTTTTGTCTTGATTTTACATGAAAAATACAATGCATGTCCCCTGAACATGCTGCTTGAGAAGTAAATCTTGCTTGCTTGCTGCATTTAGTATATAAACCACAATAAGTTAGTGTTTACTATTGGTATTTGTTATCCAATTAGGATGAGATTAGAGAGTACCGATGTAGAAAGCTTGTGGAAGATGAAGGATGGATGAAAAGGACAACACTGTAGATCAAGCTGGAGGTGGTTAGCTGAGGGTATTGTTGTTTGTGCTCTTCCACATCTTGCACTTGTGTGCAGCCGTGTAGGCGGAGAAGTACCACTTACTAAACTGAAGAGCTAGTTGGTAGCTGCTCAACATTAGTTTATGAATGAACAGTTTTAACAATTATCGGTGTTTGTGGGAGAAACGGGTGTTTCGTTAGGCTGGAATATGAGTTTGAAAATGAGTTAGCAGTTGCACAGATTGGAACGTGGTCTGCAAGCGGCTATATAAGGTTAATTTCCCATGCAATCGATGAAGTACTGACCATGCTCATGTTCAGTTTCTATGTCCGAATATTGTACATTGTCTTATTGATATGCAAATTTTCTTCTTTAGTCCAGATTACTTAGTATTACAGGAAATGAACGGTTATGATTGAATTGAGGAAATACCTTTTTCTTTTTTTTTTTGAGAAAAAGTACGATAATTGGCCCACCTTGCAATAAAGTTTGTGAGTTTGTGAATTCGTAGTTGAGCTTGGTTTTTTTTTCTTAAACTAATTTTTTGAGGGTACCTTACCACTCGGTAACTTTTATTAACAATCCGAATTGTTTATATAATCTCATCATTCATAAAACACCCTTGTATATAGTTGACAAACATAAAACCATTAAAAAATTTAATTCAAGTGAAGAAGATAAACAAATACGGTGCTCGGAATATACACGAAAATGACTACAAATATAACTGTCATTTGATTTCGAATCGTAGAAATACAATTTGGGCTATTCAATTACATAATTGGATGGCTACCATATTGATGTGGGCCGAAAGGGCTGATTTTTCATGGCCCAATTTCTTTGTCCTGTGAATTTATCGCAAAAGGCCATTTCATTGCCAGGCCTGCTACCAGACCTCGTTACTATTTCCATCCCCCACAAATCCTGAGCACTTCCAAGTGACCGTTGGGCAGCGCTTGCACGCCAACTGTTCGATGTTTTGCGCCAAAGACGCTCACCGGTTCCCGCAAAATGCATAGGAGAACCACGTTACCGCGCTTTCACCAGCTTCCCAAAACCTCTCATCTGTGCGAAACGGATGCATACGCATCGCCTTCTCCAATCCCATGTCGGAGATTAGGTTCTATGTGGGTCCCGGTGAAGCACAAATCCAGCGGAGGAAGAAGACCCAAGAAGAAAGTATACCACAGAGTCCACGAACTCGACAAAGTCATGGACTTGCAGAAAAAGCCCGCCTTGATTTTACAGCTGAAATCAATTATTCAGTCGCAGAAACACCAGTCTCTCCTTCTCAGGGACCTCGAGAAAGAAGTTGGGTTTGTTCAGAAGTGGAACTTCATGGCCGTCATAGAAAAATACCCTGCAATATTCTATGTCGGTGGCGGCAACAGAACGCCCCCTTTTGTTACACTCGCTGAGAAGGCTGAGAAAGTTGCTGGTGAAGAAGCTTCAGTCAAGGATTTGATGGAACCCATGTTGGTTAAAAACTTGAGGAAGTTGTTGATGTTGTCAGTTGATTGCCGGGTTCCACTCGAAAGCATTGAATTCATCGAATCCGAATTGGGTCTGCCGAATGATTTCAAGAAATCATTGATTCCGAAGTACCCTGAATTCTTTTCGGTTAAGGATGTCAATGAAAAAGATTTTCTGCATTTGGAGAATTGGGATTCTTCACTAGCAGTCACGGCTCGTGAGGAAAATTTAGCCGATGAAGGAATTTCTGCCGCTTATGGATTGGGGAAGAAGGTTAGGATATCCAAAGATGGTAATTTTCTAGGTCCACATGCGTTTCGAATGAATTTTCCTGCTGGTTTTAGGCCAAACACTAGTTATCTTGAGCAACTTGAAAGGTGGCAGAAAATGGAATTCCCTTCTCCATATTTGAATGCCAGGAGATTTGACATTGCTGATCCCAAATCGAGGAAGCGGGTGGTGGCGGTGCTTCATGAGCTACTCAGCTTGACAATGCAGAAGAGGATGACATCTGCTCAACTGGAAGCATTTCATTCAGAGTATTTCTTACCCTCTAAATTGCTCCTTTGTCTGATAAAGCATCCTGGTATCTTTTACATAACTAATAAAGGTGCAAGGAGCACTGTTTTTCTTAAAGAAGCTTATGATGGATTGAATTTGATAAACAAATGTCCCCTGTTGTCATTTTATGATAAATTCGTAGCGCTTAGCGGTAGGAGAGAGACCAATCCATGTAACGTGATGCATTCTTCATAGATTGATTTTTTAAATGTAAATTTGGATTCTTACGTTATATATGTGATTGAAAATTTCATGCACGGTATCACTACACTTACACAGCGGAATGAAATTTATTCCAGAGTGTATAGTTCACAGCAGGGTTCTACAATGACTGAAAATCTGAATTCATTAGACACCTACCTGTTACAAAACTGTTTGGATTTTGTCCTAGTCAAGCTACAAAGTTTGTTGATCCAGAATCATTTTAATCATATCATCTCTCGATCCTTACAATGTCCTTCCAGGTTAAGTAGTTGGTTTGCGCTATAGAACAAATTAGAGTGCTTTGAAATATCAAATACCCTTTCTAGTTGGTTGTGTTTTGAATGATGGACATAACAAGTAGACATTGGATAATTGCATCTCAAATGAGAGTTCGTGTATGTGAATCTTTGAAACCCCTTCAACTAAGGCCCACGGAGTACAAAACTTTGCACAAGCTTTCTTCCTACTGCACATTTAACATATGTTATGTTAAAAGATTGAACTATAGAAGTAAAACTCAGAAAAAAGTAGTAGCAACCAAGTTCCTTATCTCTGAAATTTTAGCTTGTGGCTGTGACTATTTTTAATAAGCTAATATTAGTTCAGCTCTATTAGATTTCAGTAATATCATTGCAAATGTTATGTCCAGGCTTAGGATGGCTATCATCCCATCAACTCGCAGGGATATAGATTTCAGCTGATGATGTTCTTTTCTTTTTAAGATATCTGATGAATCAGATGACAACATTTAATCATCTGTTTAGTGATCCTTAGATTATCTAAGCAAACTTGTTATATATCTTTTTCCTCAAAAACGTGAGTGTATTTCCTTCCAGTTGCTTTATACCAATATAGCATGCTAGCTCCTTCTTTGATGTTGGTGTTGGGTACTTTGATAATTGATACCGATGGATCTCTGCTAATTCTATTCAAACACCCGAAATAATCAGTTTGCATCTTTTTAAAAAGTATATTAATGTTGTTTATGCCGTTTAGATGTTTGTAGAGATGTCATATATCTTCAAAGTAAGTTTGTTTTCATGTGTAACGAGTGCATTTTGTATAAGTTGGTGTTTTGAGGATCAAAAGAACTCTTCGAACTCTTATATATTCTCAAACTAATAACCAACGAGTTTCTTTCAATTTACGTTTAAGTTCCCTCCAAAATCTCATTTGAAGTTATAAAAACCTATATAAATTATCAGCATATCTTGTTCTTGACAATTTCAAATTTATGACTAGAAACGATAATTATATGATTTTAGTTCCTACAAGCAGATTGTGTATCTTTCACATGATTTAAATCATGAAAATGACATTGGTAGAAAATTCTTCAAATGAAATTCAATAACACAAAAAGTGTACAGACACATGGGAAGCTTGATTTAAATTCTCCTTTTTGTTTTTGTTTTTCTGTTTTCTCATTTGTATCTGTTCATCATCATCAATTGTAAAAAGTAAAAAGCAAAAAAAACCAAAAAGTATTTTGTGTATTTTGCTGTTAATAATTGTTGACTCTAAAAATTACAAAACCTACGTGGCGCACAGCCTGAGTAACTAATAAGCTAACTAGGTCCTTCGGTTGAATGCAGGGCGTGCCAACTCGTTGGCCGAGCTCAGCCGAGGAGTAAAATTTGTGATGTTGCGTTGAGCGCGTTGCTGACTTCTTTATCTTGCGACTATGGTTGGGGAAGGAACAAATCTCGACCTTTGGATTCTCAAGCCTGAAGACAAGGCTGCAGGTTATGCGAAGTTCTCGAATCGTCGGCGCCGGATTTAGTCACAGTGATTATATTCGTGAGAGTATAAACATGTCGAATCGCCACCGGACTATATGGATACAAATATTCAAAGGTGACGTACGTCTTGATGATAAATATGGTTCGGCTGTCAGAATGCTGAACTCTGAAACTCACTTGTGAGTATCCAATCATAAAATCACTCGGCGTTCAATGCGCCGAATGTCGTAACTCATAACACCTTACTTCGCCGAGAAGGCTAATAAGATGGCCTCTACCAATAAGGATTCGAAAACCCTTCTCGACCGAGACTTGGATAGGTAACCAGTCGATCTTGACGCAGTGCTGTTTATCCAAACTGAAGGTGCCTCGCAGTTGGCAGTTGTTTTCTCTTTCAGAACAAAAGAATTCATGTATACCAATATAGCATGCTGGCTCCTTCTTTGATGTTGGTGTTGGGTACTTTGATAATTGATACGGATGGATCTGTGCTAATTCTATTCAAACACCCGAAATAATCAGTTTGCATCTTTTTAAAAAGTATATTAATGTTGTTTATGCCGTTTAGATGTTTGTAGAGATGTCGTATATCTTCAAAGTAAGTTTGTTTTCATGTGTAACGAGTGCATTTTGTATAAGTTGGTGTGTTGAGGATCAAATGAACTCTTCGAACTCTTATATATTCTCAAACTAATAACCACCGAGTTTCTTTCAATTTACGTTTAAGTTTCCTCCAAAATCTCATTTTTAAGTTATAAAAACCTATATAAATTATCAGCATATCTTATTCTTGACAATTTCAAATTTATGACTAGAAACGATAATTATATAATTTTAGTTCCTACAAGCAAATTGTGTATTTTTCGCATGATTTAAATCATGAAAATGACATTGGTAGAAAATTCTTCAAATGAACTTCAATAACACAGAGACACATGGGAAGCTTGATTTAAAGTCTCCTTTTTGTTTTTGATTTTCTGTTTGCTCATTTGTATCTGTTCATCATCATCAATTGTAACAAAGTAAAAAACAAAAAAACAAAAAAACCAAAAAAGTATTTTGTATATTTTGCTGTTAATAATGTACGATGCTCTACTGAAATATCTGTTTCGACCAGAGTGTCAAATGCATTATGCAGAGATCATTCGTGTTTCGTTTGGGATACGATGACGTGGTGTGACATGTATTTCCTGTCAAGTCACTCTCCATTTATTTTAAACGTGGAAAGCCAGATTTTTTTTTTTTTTTATCATTTTCTTTCGATTGTTGATTACTTGCGGTAGGGTTCATTGTGGAGCCCAATAATAGGCCCAACATCTTCACTCAGAGTCTGGATCTGTTGTTTATGGGCCCATATTTGTTTTGTTAAATAAGGCAAAGCTTCCAGTTCCAACCCACCAAAAAGGTTGGTAGCTGACAATCAATTGGTATTTATGGTACTTATGGTGCACTGCCACTGCGTGCAACTTGAAATGAGTCGAAATAATGATTTTGGTCCTCTAGTTTGGCTCAATTTCACTTAGCGATGTGTTATCTGCACACTTTTTTTTACTTGTCGCACACTTCTTTAATTTGTGATTATCGGATTAAATGAATTAAAGAAAATTAAAAAAACATAAATTAACAAGCAATATATGAAAAATAAAAAAATATGTGTAAATAGCACATCCCTTTCACCTACGTCTATGTGATATTAATTGTCGCTATTTACCCTTATGATAGATTAATAGTATTAATTTAAAGACAATAATTATTTGCTTCTTTCTTTTTGAAAAGAAAAAATAAATAGACCTACAAGGTCATGTGTGTACTTTTAAAAGTTCATCGTATTAGTGAACTACATGAGTTAAATCGCAATGAATGAAAAGTAAAATACCGAAGTAAAACTACGCACTCCTTGATGCTAATGATGTTTTTGCCGCCACAAAATATTGGATTAACAAGCAACTACGCACTCCTCGGTGCTAATGATGTTTCCCCAACTCCAAAATTTAAATCCCGAGCGGTATCCTGGAACCATAATACTTGAAACCTTAACGAAGAAAGTCGAGCTTCTACTATAAAATGAATTGGTAATGGGGAGTATTTCAACTTATTGATAAGTTCATGGAAAGTTTCTTCTCTCATCATTGTGGTAGTCATTCTCAACACACTTAATCGCGTGTGACGAATTTTTTCAAGCCAAACATGTAGACAACACAAATTTAGTGACGTGAAGTACGTGTAGCTGTTGGGATTCACACATGGAACAACATGCCTTAATGCCAAGAAAAATATTGAGATTCCATCATAAAATCAATTGACAATATAAGAAGTAGCTCAACTTATTTTTAAGCTCACTTAAGGTTCATTCTTCCGTCAATATGAGATTCATTAACAACAGTCAAAACATTTTATCTTTACAATTTGAAATCGATTAACAATACACCATTGCTTCGTTTTTTCCTCAAAGCTCTTGGGAACCATATAATATGCCAGAAAAGTGCTTACACTCACATTGATCTACATTACTTGGCAAGTTTAGTGCATTTTAACTGTATACTAATATAAACCAAAGAATGTGATTTTAGGTGGAAAAGGACAAATGGTGATCCAATTGGAGAGGTTTGAATTCCTATGAAAAACTAATGTTATTGTGCTAGGCTCCTACTGCTAGCCAGCTCCATGATGAATGGGTCCAAATATATTATCGCCGGACGTCATGCACCCCATAAGGTGTCGACAAGTCGATGGCTCTGCTGTGCATGCACTACCACATTGGTGACAATAATACCAAATCTCTCCCCCCTCTTTCTATCCTCTCCACTCCACTTATAGGTATTCTTCTCGAATTGTCACCTTCAACTCCAAGTTTCATGTCTACTTCAGTACTGTTAATTCTGCAACTTTCATAAAGCAGGAGAGGGGAAGTATATCTATCTATATATCTATTTATCAATATATATATATATTGTTTAGAACTCATGGTAAAGAAAAATTATGATAATTCATCGTTTAATTTTAATTCAATAGTAGATGAGAAAATACAACTACAAAAAATAAATAGTCATCAATTATTATATTAAGATTAAACGGTAAGTAACCACAATTTTATTAAATTATAAAGTCCAAGAGAATGAGATTAATATGTATAGGAAAAAGTAGGAGTGAAAAAGAAAGATGATAAAATCATAGTACATTGATATCTTTCTTTTGGTTCATGATAGCGATCATACTTCTGTAGAATCACTTTATATACATTTAGTCCTCCGAAGACTCCAAAACCAACCTATCTATGTATCTATCTATATCCCCTGCCTCCATTATGTCCTTTCACATAGAAAATTCATCTCTCTCTCTCTCTCTCTCTCTCTCTCTCTCCCCCCATTAGTGGGTACTTTGTCTAAAGTAAGCATGTAATCCTTGTTGTCTAAACTAGGGCACCACTGCAAAGGTTCTCACCAGTAAAATGATCCATGATTTTGCTTGATGTGAGTACTGAGTGGGCACACACCAACACCAACACTCTGAGAGAGAGAGAGAGAGAGAGAGGACATAATGATTTAACCGAAGATGGGGATTGGGGAGCTAGGGTTTGGCTTGCAACCATAATCTCCATGACCTAGATATATTATATCATCCATGGGGCCGGGGGTGAGAAAAGAAGACTGAGTCCTAAGTCTGTCTGTCTGTCATGGATTGGATACATATTATGCTAGCTAGTGGAAGAAGCTGATGTTTGTTTACACTTGCACACAGGCACCAACCCTGTCTGTCATGTCAAAATCCAACTCCGTAAACAAAAAGAAAAAGAAAAGATTAGTTTTTGCAACTATTTGCTCTTTTTTCTTGCTTTTTAACTTGTTTTTTTTTCATAGTGGGGTTTTCTTTTCTGGATTCAAATATGCAATAAATAATGTCTATGTCTTTAGATTTACTCCATCCATCCACCCATCGATCAAACCTTGCAAATTAAAGTAGATTCATGGGCCATGCCGTTGGCAGATCATTGATATTCCCCACATAAAAAGAAATATATGATTTCTAGGTCACTGTTTTATGCATGCCTTTTCTCTTTAAAGACCCCACCTTTCAAAACATAACGTTTAACCCATTACTCTTTGCATGGTAAAATTCAAAACAAGCCTGTCACGCATTTAGGTAAATGCTAAATGCTTCTTTTTTTACCAATGTCCCTTTGCAGTTTTCAAATCTTGCCCCCATCTGAGTAAATAATTAAATGTACACTTTAATTTGAAGACTTATGTATTTGGGGTGGGGGATTCATTAGGGTTCGGTTCCTCTTTTAGACTTGTGTTCCATGCTTATTAAGAAATGCTAAATTGGGACGATGCACCTCAAATTCTAATTTGACTCCAAGGTCCTATCCAATTTCTTAAGTGATTGTATAATATGTGAGTGACCCTGTGGGGTCCCTAATTGTCCTAAGCTTGAAAAAAAAAAAAAAAAAACTATAGAGAGGGGGTTGGCTCCTTAAGATTGAAGAGTAGTTCCTTCTTAATTACTTAGTGTTTGATTTACATTATAATCAGAATCATTTATATTAAAAATCAATTTACAAATATCATCTTAAAAAAATTAATTAAAACTAAGGTCGTTTAATCAATCAGTGGTAGAAAATAAATAGATGGTTCATAATGTTTTTACCATGTTTGTGCATTTGTTTTTTTACAATTTGATGACTAAATGATCTCTTATTTTATTGATTTTTTCAGAGTAATTTATAATATTAATTATTCTGATCATAAGCCCAAAGTTCCATTAATCGATCACGAAGGAAATAGGAGGAACTCCTCATCAACAACTGAAGAGCCAGGTTAATATCAAAAATATATATGTCAGAATGAAAGAACAGAAGAAAGGAAATAGCAAAAGCAACATAATTCCAAGATGATGGAGTGGTGTGGTACAATTTACATACATGATGAGTGTCCCTTTTCACGAGGGACGAAAGTTTTGGGGTTGCGTCATGGCCCCCATGCCCCCTCTCTTGATTGGATCCATATGCTATGCCGTCCATTACTTAGCAGCCCCACCCCTCCTCAATCCTCATCAACTTGAACTTGGAATATGGTTTGTATCACTAAAGTGGACAACTTATGTGAGACACACACATCACCGTCCCCTTTACATCAAGTCTCACTCCTAACGACGTAAAAGGTTTAAAAACAAGCACAAAGCGTGGGTCTGGTAGATTCTTGTTAGATCTTTGCCAGTGCTTCTGCCGAAACTACTTGTGTTAGAACTACATCTACATATAAGCATAAAAATTACTTTTATCGAATTTACTTTTGCTCATAAGCATAAGAACTACTGCTTACATAACTCATAAGCACTTTTAATTATTTCTTGGGGTAAAAGTGAAAGGACATAGGTCATAAAAGATTAAACGAGCCGAATCACTCTTTAGAACTCGGTCGTCGATTTGCTTCAACAGCCTACCGTCCCCCGCTGGGAGCGATTGTGATTTTTCAAAATTTGAAGTCCTCAGAAAAGAATTCAATTCCATTGGGTCAAGTGTCATTGTCCTCATCGTCGGCATATTCGATGGCTTTGTGGGTGGTGTGTACGTGACCATGAGTTTTGGTTAAGCATGCCCTCCATATTTGATTTTCAATTC